AGGTTAAAAGCCCACTGGATGAAGTGGGAGGCCATGGCAGGGGCAGCAGGAGGCTGGAGGACAGAGCAAAGGGTCCTACCAGCAGTTCTGAGGTTGCCAGCTTGTCCAGGGACAGCGACTGGATGCGGGAACGATGCAGACCCATCTGTCTGTGAACTCCAGAGCACTCAATGCAGACCAGGATGCCCAGGTTAACAGAAAGCCAAGCAGGATCTGTAGGGACAAGACCACCAGGCTCATGTGCATCTCCTGCCTCCCCTCCCCACCAGCCCCCAGCCCCCTAGGCACAAGCTCCATAGCAGGACAGTACAGAGGGAGAAGACCCTCCATGCCTGTGGGTCTCCAGGAGCCAGGGAGGGCAGGGCAGAGCTCTGCCTGTTCCAGGGTGCAAAGCCCAGTGTCCCCATGGCCACGGGCTGGCTCTCACCTGGGGCTGAGCAGTCACAGCACTCCCTGTTCCCGGGCATCCCTCTGACCTCCTGGATGATGGCCTGGCACAGCTCCTCCTGGCTGCTCTCCCCTCTGCCCTGGGCCCTGCTGAAGTTCACATTCAGGGCCTCCTCCCTGCTGTTGATGAGGACAGACACCCAGCTGCAGGGGAAGAAAGGGAGTGGGGCTGCAGGGCAGGGAGAACACTGGGGTCTCAACCCTCTGTTGCCAGGTCCTGCGCGGGGCTGCAGCAGCAAACTGGGTACCAGGAGCTCCCACCAAGATCCACCAGAAGGAATGACCCCAGGGGAGGTTTAGACTGGATATTAGAAGAAATTTCCTCACTGAAACAGTTGTCAGGCCCTGGCACAGGCTGCCCAGGGAGTTAGTTGAACCACCATCCCTGGAGCTGTTTGAAAACCACGTAGATGTGGTGCTGAGGGACACGGTTCAGTGGTGGATTTGGCAGTGCTGGCTTCTGGTTGGACATGATGACCTTAAAGATCTTTTCCAACTAAAACTATTCCATGATTCCATGTCCTAACCTTGGCCAGCCTGCCCAGAGTGACTGGGACACCGTCAGGGTGGGAAGGGCATTGAACAAGGGGCTGCAGTGAGCTGCTCAACCATCCAATGTGCTGCTCAACCACCCAACGTGCTGCTCAACCATCCAACGTGCTGCTCAACGAATGTGCTGCTCAACCAACGTGCTGCTCAACCAATGTGCTGCTCAACCAACGTGCTGCTCAACCAATGTGCTGCTCAACCAACGTGCTGCTCAACCAACCAACGTGCTGCTCAACCAACCAACGTGCTGCTCAACCAACCAACGTGCTGCTCAACCAACCAACATGCTGCTCAATTAATTAGCCCAGGAGCTGGCTCTTCACCCAGAGGAGCACTCCTTGGCCCCACCAAGGCATGGGCAGAACTTACATGACACAGTCCTGCTCGTCCTCTGCCAGGAAGCGGAAGGTGCGATTGTCTGAAACACACAGACCAGGCTCCTCTGGGCACCCCTCTCATCCATCCCACCTGCCAGGCCCAGGGCAGGGCACAACACACCCCAGCTGGGCTCAGCAGATCTTGGGTAGCTCTCCAGCCTGGGCAGCTGGGGTGACAATCACCTCTGTTTCTCTCAGCCCCTCCCCAGTGCTCCCAGGACCTGCTCCTGTACCAGGGATGCTGGTGTTGGATAAACTGCAGCCTGGGAACTACCCCTGCACCCCGTGCTGCCCCATCTCACACCCTGTGTGTGCACCTCTGCTCCTGGCACTGTTTCCCCAGGGTAATGCCCCCCAAACTGGCCCAAAGCTGCAGAGCTTCCCCTCATCCCTGTCCACACCAGCTCTCCAAGCCCAAAGTGCTGCTGCTTCTCTGGGCCCTTCCCAAGGAGCCCCAGGGCAGGAACCACTCACGGGAAACCACGTGGAAGCTTTTCTTGTCATCCATGCTGGGCTTCACCTGGCAGGTCAGTAAGTTCAGCTTGGCTGGTGGGCGGTTGAGCTACGTGGGGGAAGCACCAGAGGGCTGAGGTCAGGGGTGCTGAGCAGTGCTGGAGGCAGAGCCACCCCTGAAACAGCAACACCCCCTTTTCCCTCCCAACAGCCCCCCCAGGGCTCCCCACACACACAGGATGTGGGGAACTCCTCTGTCCAAGGCTCTCTTGTGTCACAGGGAGCTCAGACCAGCAGGCAGCCTCCCAGGCAGGGCCAGCAGCAGGCAGGGGGGCTCTGGGGAAGGCCAGGACCCTGCAGGGTGGGCAGCAGCTCCCAGGCAGAAGCAGAGCAGAGGAAGAAGCAGTTCTTACCATGCTGTGGGAGATGGTCAGGTAGCCATTACTGATGGTGCACTTTCTCCTCTGCCAGACCTTTCTGAACCTGGAAAGGAGCAGAGGGTGAGCTGAGAGAATGCAGGTGTGGGGGAGCAGAGGTGCTGCACAAGAGCCATGCAAGGCACAGCAGGGGCTGCAGCTCTCACCAAACATGTTGGCTGCTCTGCCACGGGCAGGGTCTGCCACTCCTGGCCTATTCTGGGCTGAGAACGACCCATCAGATGGCACAGGAAGGTTTGTAAACCTGCCATCAGAGCTGCTGTGCAGGTGATACAAGAGCAGAGCACCCAGCAGGGCAGCAGGACCTGCAGCACAGCACCAAGGCCTTTGCAGGAACCCTTGGCAAACACCCAAGACCTTCACCTCCAAACTGCACCCAGGCTTTTCTGCACCAGTCATTCAGGGCAGGTCCCAGGACAGGGGGAGGTGGAAGGGATACACCCAACAGGGGACACAGGCTGAACTTCAGCGTGGGGTGAAGCAGAACCCTGAGCCCCACATCATCATTTTCTGTCGGGTCTCAGGTTTTTCTAGGACACTTCACAGTCCTTTCCACAGGTGAAACTCTCCCAGTGCAGAACCCTGTGATTCCCAGCAAGCCTCCTCCCCTGTACTGGTGGGAGATGATCCTCTTTCCAAAGACACTGCAGTGCTTCCCAGGAGCTCAGGGCCTGGCTCCTGGGATGGCTGCTCCCTCTGCCCCACAGAGCCATCTCCAAGGCAGCACTGCCCCACACTCTCTCTAATCCACCCCACGTTTCTGCTCCTTCCCCTAATTCTCACCAGTACTGAGCTGCGAGGGCAGAGGGGTCTGGAGAGCAAAGAATGGGCTAGAAGTTGGACACAAGCTGCCTGGAGCTCTGTGTTGAAAGCTGCTGGAGGTTGGGCCAGTGTCGAGCACATCTTCATGTGTGCTTGTCCTGTTCCTCTGCCCTGTGCCCACCCCAGGAAGAAGAGGCTGGTCTGGGAAGACCCTGCTCTGGCCCCAGGTCATCAAAGCCTGTGGGATCCCAACTTACCCATTGCTTTTCTTCAAGAGGGTCCCCGACTTCTCTGTGCCATACTGCCTGTTCCCTGGCAGCTGGTGCATGTTGTTCCCTGCTGGCCTATTCCCAGGGTCCTGCCAGAAGGAGAGAAAGAGCAGCAAGGCCCTGCCCCATCAGCATCACTGGCAGCCCAGAGCACAGAATCACAGAGTGGTTTGGGTTGGAAAGAACATTACAAATAATCCAGTCCCACCCCCCTGCATGGGCAGGGACACCTCCCACCAGCCCAGGCTGCTCCAAGCCCCATCCAACCTGCCCTTCAACACTGCCAGGGATGGGGCAGCCACAGCTTCCCTGGGCAGCCTGGGCCAGGCTCTCACCACCCTCACAGCAAAGAATTTCATCCTAATATCCAATCTCCCCTCTTCCAGTTTGAAACCATTGCCCCCTCTCCCCCCATCCCTCCCTGCCCTTGTCCCAAGCCCCTCCTCAGCTTTCCTGGAGCCCCTTCAGGCACTGGAAGCGGACATGGGTGGGTTCTGGGCCCCAGCACACAGTGCCAGCTCATGGTGACCTTCTCATCACCCACCTTGTCCTCACAGGACTGCCAGGGACCCTGTGCTCCCCAAGAGCTCACCAGAACCCCCCCAGCTTCCTGCACAGGCACTAGCTCAGCAGCTGCCCTGCCCTGCCTTCTCCTGACACCCCCCTGGCTCCCCCACAAGAAGGACCAGACTTTACCGACATGGTGCCAGCTCATGGTGACCTTCTCATCCCCCACCTTCTCCTCACGGGACTGCCAGGGACCCTGTGCTCCCCCAGAGCTCACCAGAACCCCCCCAGCTTCCTGCACAGGCACTAGCTCAGCAGCTGCCCTGCCCTGCCTTCTCCTGACACCCCCCTGGCTCCCCCACAAGAAGGACCAGACTTTACCTCTTTCTGCTCCAGCTGCAACGTCACCTTCAGCTGATCCCGGAGGGAGCAGAGCTGCTGTTTCTCCTCCTCCTGCCTGGGCTTCACCTGGAAGGCACCAGAGCACTGTGAGCCCCTCACACAGCAGTGGGAGGCAGGTGCTGATGCGTCCAGCTCCTCCTGGGCCAGCAGAGGGATGTGGGATGTGCCAAGCCCCATTCCTGGGGTGGGGTTGCCTGTCCCCTGCAGTGCCACGGCATGTGGCATCTGCAAGACCTTCAGTGGAGAACCCAGGGAGGGGAGGGAGCAGGCACAGCCCTGGTGCTGGGTCTCCTGCAGGGCTGGGTCACAGGGGGGCTCTGCCTTTTGCTGAGGCAGCAGCTGCTTTCAGCTTCCCACGGGGTAAAAACAACAGCCTGGAGGTCACCGTGGAGGTTGGGTTTTTTTAACCTTAGCCGTGGCAGGAATTCAACTAATTAAAATGTCTCCAAGTCATCAAAAAAGTTGCTGGGTCTTGGAACAGGAATGTGGCACAGAAATGGAGCTGGGAGAGGGGTTTGCATGAGGGGTGGGAGGGATGGTGCTGGCTGGGCTTGGTTCCCCTGCTCTGGCTGCTGCCTCCCCTCTTTGTTACTGACAGAATTACATTATAATATGAATTATTACAAATTATGGAACCAGGTAACACCCCAAAGGCAGATTCATTCAAACAAAGCAGCAAATGCCCAGAGGAAACCTGGGCACTGCAGGACCCTGGGGGAAAAGTCCACAGGGTGTCTGGTGTCCTTACCCCACACAAGAGCAGCTGGAGGGTCCTGAGCTCCTTCTCCATCTCCCCTGCACCCTCCTCACCATGCCCTGCTGCCTGGCCAGCTCCTGCTTCTTCTTCTCCATCTGGGAGCTCGAGGGAAGAGGAGACACGTGTGTCAGGCTCCATCTGGCTGCTGGCTGGTTGAGGCAGCCAGAAACCAGCCTCCAAGCCCAGGCCTCGGGGTGATGGGACCCCAGAACTCACAGTTTGCTCTCATAGTCTCTGCAGGCCTTCTCAAAAGGCTTCTTGAACTCCTAGGAAGACCCAAAGGCACCACTGAATTAGTACCACGGGGACAAAGCCTTCCTCATCCTCAGCCTACTTGGTTCCCACCAGGATGAAGGCCCTTGCAGCCCCAGGACATGGTTGTCCAAAGGAATGTCCCTCTCCAGGAAGGTCCTCACCTCTCCCCAGTGCACAGCAGGCAAGACACACACCCCCCTTAGGCTCCCAAACACACATCACACTGGTGGGCACCACAGGCAGGGTCACAGCAGAACCTGCAGCACCTTCCACAGACTCACAGTGCTGAGGGCAGGAGGAGCTGCTCAGACACACACAGACCAGCCAGAATGTCCTGTTGGACCAAACCACCAGAACCCACCCCAACCTGGCAACATCAGCACAGCCTGTTGTTCCCTGGGTTTAGTCTAATGGCCAATTAGTCTTGCTCCTAAAAAGCCTCTCACTTGGCTGTGTGTGACTTCAGCTTCTCCCCAGGGTTGACCATCTTGGGATGTTCATTTGCATTTGTGCATCAAATGCATTCACTCAGATCACCCACGTTCTGCCTCACTTAGTGTCCTGCAAACCTGAATCAGGTGGGGGCTTCAGGGGGTCTCTATAACCTCCCACTCAAAGCAGGGACAGCCCTGAATCCAGACCAGGCTTTGTTGAAAAACCCCACGGATGGAGATCCCACAGCCTCTCTGGGCCCCCAAAGTGCAATTTCATGGTTTATGTCAAGGCAGAACCTTGTCAGGGCAGATCTTGCTTTTATCTCCATCCTAACAAAACTGTCAGCCTGATTCAGGTCAGCTCCTGATCCCTGCTGGATCCCTTCAGCTGAGCCATGGCTCCCCACGGGCAGATGGTTTATTTCCTCTCTCTCTGTTTCCTCCCTTCCCAATCCTCTTGACATCCTTCTGAACACTGCAAATAGGGGATTTTTTTTTTCCTTCTGATTTTATCTTCTTTTATCAATCTATTTCACACCAGAAGTTCCAGAATTTGCTCTGTCCTTTCATTCTCCTGTGTAGCACACGTGTCCCAAAAGACCACAGAATTATTGAGGCTGGAAAAGACCTCTGAGATCATCAAGTCCAGCCTATAACCTCACACCAGCACACCAGCCAGACCAGGGCACCAAGTGCCACCTCCAGCCTTTCCTGAAACACCTCCAGGGCTGGTGCCTCCTCCACTGCCCTGGGCAGTCCATCCCAATGTCTGACCACCCTGGATGCTTGTCATCTGTCTCGATGTTTGGCCATCAGCAGACCCTGCTGGTGGCCAGGGAAGGCAGCAGGACTTGGTTCCCAGCACCTGGTTCCTCCCCAGACTCCTCCGGATTCAGCCACATCCCTGCAAACCAGTGGAGGTCCAGAGTCCTCACAAAGGGCCACCCCTGGCTTGACCTGTGGTGTGAGGCACCAGCCTTGGGAGGGAGCAGGATCTGGCACACAGGGGGTGCAGACCTGCCCTTCCTTCCCTGCTGGAGGGCAAGACATGAGCCAGGATGAGTCCCTACAACAGGCACCTGCTCTGTCCCCAGCCCCTTGTTACCATCCCCACTCCTCCAGCCCCTGCTCACCCCTTTGAGCTCTTTCATGTCACCCTTTCATAATGACTCCAGGGAAAAGTGGATGTTGTGGTACAAGCTCTGCCACTGGAAAGGGGAGAGGGGGCTCAGGGCTCAGCCCTGCACCCTGGGAGAGCAGAGCTGCTGTGAGGAGGGAACCAGGCCACATGAAGCCTCCATCCTTGGGAGGTGCCAAGCTGGACAAAGACCCAGCAGGCTGCAGGATGTGCAGGATGTGCAGGATGGCAGACAGGAGATCCCAGAGGTCTGCAGGGATGTGCAGGCTGTGCCACCAGCCCTGCCTCCTGCCTCCCCCTGGGGAAGGGGATGAGCTTGGACCTGCAGGCTGTGGCCAGAGCTGCTCCTCCTGGGGAGGCCCAGCAGCAGCTCCTGGCCAGGCAGGGGCCCTGCTCTGCTGTGTCAGCAGGGTCAGAGCTCCCTGCCAGGCTCCTGAGCGCCCAGCAGCTCCGGGGAGGAGGCAGCAGAGGTGCTGCGGGCTTGGCCGGCTGCTCCTCGCCTTCCAGCTGGCAGGTGGCTGAGAACTTCTCCTGAGCATCAACGTGGGCTTCCAGGTGGCTGATGAGGGCTGGGGGGACACAGGGGGTCTCCACAGAGTGCAGGGGAGAGGTGGGGATGAACATCCAGCCCCTGCCTCCCCCCGGGAGCCCCCCTGCCCTGTCCTGCCTCCCGTCACCTCCTGCTGCCCCCACCACGACCACCCAGTTACCATCCTCCCTGCTCTGCTCACCCCCCCACCCATCCATGCCCACCTGCCCCCTCCCGTGGCTCCATTCTCCCCTGACCTTGCCCAGTTTGCTCTGCCTTGGCTGCTTCCTCATCTCCTGCATCACAGGAGCCTGCAAATGAGGAGAGGTCACTGCCTGCACCCCCCACACACCTTTCCTGACACACGAGCTGGGCAGGAGCCCCAGCACCCCCAGGCTGGGCTGATGATCTAGTGGTCCACGTGTATATTAAAATTCCACAAACCTTCCTGATACTCTCCTGGAAGGAGTGGTCAAGCATGAAGAGAGAGTTGGGAAATATATTGGAGAAGGAACATGTGGCATTGACAGAAAATGTGGGTTTCAGTGGCAAGAGACTGTAAATTCCAAACTATATTTCCTTCCCTGTCAGTGTCATTCCTGGGCTGAGAGGAGAAGGCAGAGGTAGATGAGGGGAAATGTTTGGAGGCATCTAAACCCTGTGCCTGTGAACAACTGTGTTACAGATGGTGTTTCACACGAGCTCTGCTTGGAGGGGCCTCTTGTGCATCTCGCTGGGAGCAGGGCTGTTGTCAATCCCAGACCAGGTTGGCTGTGTTTGCTTAGCTGGGCTTTGAAACCCTCCAAGGATGAAGGTCTCCTCTCCAGTGACCTCCTGCAGGGCTACACCCCCCTGCTGAAGAAACTTTTCCTGACACCCAACCTGAGCTACCTGAGCCACAAAGTGGGTGTTGCTGCACGTTGCACCACCTGCTGCTGCCCAGCAGAGCTGGGCACCAGTGCCTAAAGCTGCCCTTGATGGGCTGTGAACTGCTGCCAGACACCCCCCTGCACCTCAGGAATCCCCTCACCCTTCTCCAGGTGAAGCCCTGCTGGCTCAGGTGAACCCACCTCCCTTGCAGAGGCCCCAGTGTTGGCAGCTTTCCCAGCTCCAGATGCCTCTTCTCAACCCTGCAGCAGATTCTGAGCCACGTGGTGGGACTCAAATTCTCCCCTTCCCCATCTGCACTTGGAAGTGGCACCAGGAAGGAGCAGTTTGGAGCTGCTGCCAACCTGTGCACCCTGATCTCCAGCCTCAGAGTGGCCTCAACAGCCTCTCTCCCCATCACTGTTGGGACTCACCTTGACCTGCCTCCCTCCTGAAACATCCCTGGAGCCTACCCAGGTCCCCTGTGATCCCACTCATCTTTATTCTCCACCTTTTCCCAGCAGTTCTGCTCTCCACACAAGGTGCTCAAACCTCCCTGAAGGTGTCACCTCGGCCCACAGGTGACCCCCCTCCCCACCTTTGGGACCTTTCCCTGCCTGTTGGTCCCACACTGTCACCCAGGAGGTTCCCTGCCTCAGAGGGGACCAGGGTGAGGCAGCTCCAGTGTCCTGGAGTCTCCACTCCCTCCCAGAGCAGGAACCTCAGCCCAGCTCAGCCTCCCAGCAGGAAACACCAGATCTGGTTCTTGGGACAGGAAACCTGGAGCTCCCCTCCCTGCCTGTGCTTCCCTGCCCTCCCATCCCCGGCAGGCAGGGGTCTGGCCCTGCACCCACCCCAGCTGTGAGGCTGCACATCTGGGGAGCTGCTCCAGCTGCAGAACAGGCTGGTGTCCTGCCCTGCTCCCTCTGCCACCCACCCCAGCAGGGTGGGATCCCCTCCCCGTGCCTCCAGGCTTCCACAGGTGCCCACCCCACAGCTCCTGCTGCCCTGGGAGCTGCCCTGAGGCAGCTGCTGAGGTGGCTGCTTCCACCCCTGGGTCTCCAGCCAGGAGCTCTGCAGACCCCCCCAGCCCAGCAGCCTTTCCCTAACCACAGCCTCCCTCTCCCCAGCCCTGTTCCCAAGGCTCCGCTTGGCTCGGGGTGCAGGTCATGGAGCAACAGCTGAAAGTGAAGCAACGTGAGGAAAATGCCCCCTGACCAGAGGCCCCTGTGGCTGGCAAAGGCAGAGGTGCTGGGCAAGCTGAGCTCTTGCTCACTGAGGGGAGAGCAGCCCTGGGGGGACCTGCTGGTGGGAGCCTCAGTTGGTGGCACCAGGGCTGGGCTGGGGTCCTGCTGCCACCAGCAGTGACAGAGGGATGGAGCCCCAAGCCTTGCAGACTGCAAAGGGACAGACACCCATGGGGTGACACCCCAGCACACACAGGGTGATGCCCCAACACACACAGACAGGGAGACAGCCCAGCACACACAGTGTGATGCCCCAACACACACAGGGTGACAGCCCAGCACACACAGGGTGACACCCCCAGGCGGACACAGCAGGGACAGGTGGAGGTGGTTGAGGAAGCCAGAGCAGGAGCACAGCAGGGAAAGGTGCTGAGCTCCACCTGCAGGAGCAGCCCATCTGCCCCACACTCACACCCGGCTTCAGACCCAACCAGGATCCTTGCTCCTCACCTGCCTGGCCCTGCTCAGCCACCTGTCTCCCCAAAACCAACCCTTCCTGCCCCATCCCAAAGACAACCCAGCAGCTTCAAACCCCTTGTCACTTAATTTCTTGGGAAACACAACTGCCCCCCTGAGCACCATCTCCTGCACCAGGATGAGACCCCTCAGATGGACACTGTCCTGTCACTCCCAAGGCTGAAGCACCAGGTCATGTCAGGGCTTGTCTGTGCAGAAGACAGGAGCCCTGGGGCACCAGAGACAATGATAGGAACAAAGCTTGTTTA